GGGATGTGATAAAAAATAATGACAGTTGTGAGCAGCAATGCGTAATTTGAAAACGAGAAAATTGATCCAGCTCTTGCTCCAGCCTCGTATTTTTGACATTTTGGCTTTGGTTCCGCTTTTCCAAAATTTTCTCTCCGTGGGTGCGGAGCATTATCTGAGAACGAGGCCCCGCGACTCGTCGTAATTCTTCATGCCCTCGTGGGGGATGGACTTAGTCCAAAATCCGAACGCTGATGTGAACATAACCATTCGGTGCCCAATCAATCCGAGTATTCTAAAGAAATCGGTCGGATTCGAGTACTACTTGAAGAGGAACGTTCTGCTCGTATATCAATATCAATATGATTGATACTATATTTGAGGTGGTTTGGACCTATTTATCTATTTACAAAAATGGTGCTAAGAGAGATATAATTTAAGAATCGAATGGAGGAATCGAAAGCACTATTCCGTACCATTATCACGTACCCGTGGTTCACAAATTCCTCTGTGATATTATTTTTGAATAAGAGGGATCTCTTAGAAGAGAAAATACTTTATTCGCATCTCGCCGACTACTTCCCCGAATACGACGGTATGTTTTTGGTTTATTCATTATTGACCCGTTAGGGAACTGCAATTTACTTTTAACAACGCTGGTATTGATAGCACTGATGTGATATAAGTGGTTGTTGGACAGAATCGTGTAAATCAGATTCATCGTCGCAAATAACCTTTTTCTGCTTTCAACAAGAAATTTTACTTTTTGATGAAGGGTATCTTTTTGAGTGTGCATTTGACAGTTACCAATATTATCGATTCTGTTATTTAAGGACCACCGAGGGACGCGATCGCAGCACGCGAGTTTATTTTAAAAATGTTCGTCGATTTAAATCCGGATGCTGATAAAATAATTTATTCTCACTTCACTTGTGCCACAGGTTCGTTAATGATCATTGAGGAGGTGTATCTTCAGTATATCGTGGTGTTTAAAAGAGTAAAAAATTCAGATACGGAGAATATACGTTTCGTGTTTGCTGCAGTGAAGGATACAATATTGCAACATAATCTGAAGGAGTACAATTTGGTTTGATGAATGCTTATTGGTTGATGGGGTGGCGATCAGTGATCGATATTGATTGCGAAGAGATCTGATAGTTTAATTAATTAATTGGTCGATTGATTGTTATTCGCGCAATGATGCCTTCCTTATTTTAATCATTTATTATTTCGAAGCTGCTCCTCTTTCCGACAGTATGAATCACCTTGAATGTGAACAATAAACTCCAATTTATTCATCAACCTTACCGATAGTGATTGTGACCATCGAATGATCATTTCCTGAAGAAAGTTTCAATTGAATCGTCATAAATGATTACTCCTACTGAAGATGGTTTCTGATTGAATAGTTTTGCTGATTGCCGTGAGGTTATTTAAATGCACTCCTCATCAGATTCCTTTCATCACCTAATACCACCATTTTATCATTTTTTGGCCCTTGAAATTCTTGAAACCAAATCAGCAACATTTGCTTCATCTGTTTCTTGTCGATAATTCCCTGAATCCTCATTTGCTAGGCGCTAAGCACCCCTTGATTTGATATTGTTATTTTATTACTGTTGTTCATTATTATTTTCTAATATTATTGATATTGGAATTATAATTAATATCATTTTAATTATTCATATGATGCACAATTTCTTTTTGGCACTTTCTTACTGAAGCAGTGTTAGAGGTGGATGGATGGACATGCCATAGTGAGTAGTGGTAAATGTTAGGGAATGAACAAGTGCCGTGCAGTTGTGTTTGATTTGTGCTGGATTAATTCATTGTGTGGCGAATGATGATTGATAACTGAGTTGATTAATTAACTGATAATAGTATATTGTGGTGATGATGCTATCGTTTATGTGTTGTTCTGAATATATGAAATAATTGGATTTTCTTTTGTTGTTGTTGGTTTGTTGAATTGAATATAATCAATTGCGTTGTCCCCCGCTGCCGTGTACTTTAAAAGTTGTTTTTGAGAAATGTCATCGTTATGATTTCGCTCATCATTTAAAGTCGTCTTTGAATTGTGAATTCTTCCGCAAGAGGTTATTTCTTTCTTTGATTATCATTGATCTAGATTGAGTTGGTGTGATCATGGTGATTTATTTAGTAATATTCAGTTGTTTTATTTCATTACAATATTTCATTTCAGTGGGCGCTTATGCTCTTCTTCTTCGTCGTTGTATTATTATTATTATTCATCTATTTTATTTCGTTCAAATTTCGAAATTTGGTGGTAATAGCCATTCAGTTTTTGTTTGTATATGCTGAAATATTTCGCTGATTTATTCGGAATTCTCGTTTTTTAGAAGAAATTTCATTTTAAAATTCTGTTTAAATTGATGATTTGCAAAGTAAAAGTGTAATGAGTTAGTCAGTTTTTGGCTGATCATAGCCACTTTTTGCAACATCGCAGGAATGCGTTCAGAACGTGCAAAATTTATCCTTTTTCGGTCCTATTTTTGTTCGGTTTAAGAACGATTCAATTAATTTCAATTGAATCTATATGGTTTCTTCCAAAATTGTAATGAAGATTGTGGTAACGTATCCTTGTGATGACGAGGGTATTCCAGCAAATCGTTCGATGATCCTTCTCGTCAGCTAGTCTCTTCCGCCCAGAATATAGCACGATGGATAATCGTTGACCCTTCCGGACCGTTATTTCTCTCTGATAGGCCATTATTATTATTTATTATTATTAATATTATTATTTATTACTATTAATATTGTTATTACTATTATTATTGTTATTATTACCATAATTATCATTACCATTATTATAATTCTCATTGTTACTTTGTTCAATAAAACAACTCTTCATCTTAAGTTAGTACTAATTAAGGCATACTGCTGTTGATATGAATCATTCAATCTGCGTGTCGTTTTTTTCTCTTCGTTCCGTGTGATCTTTCCTTTACCAGCTGCCGCCGTGGTTACTGATCGTTTTTGAATTTATTCAGTAATTAATCTTTTTCTGTTGTTTTCAAAGAAGTCTAATCGAACATCAGTGAATTTCTATGGCATTTTTGTGACGACACGAAAATTAGCGAGGTAGTTTCATTTGTTGGTTTTTGAAATTTATTTAGCCACTGATATTTTTCAGATTCAATTTATTTTNTTAATCTTTTTCTGTTGTTTTCAAAGAAGTCTAATCGAACATCAATGAATTTCTATGGCATTGACACGAAAATTAGCGAGGTAGTTTCATTTGTTGGTTTTTGAAATTTATTTAGCCACTGATATTTTTCAGATTCAATTTATTTTCCGTCGCACCAAGTTTTGAATCGTTTCGTCTGGCCAAATATAGTGATGGTGCATTGCTCATTGTAAACCGTGTTCGGGCCCATACTTTCAAACGTCGCTAAGACTCGTCTGTACCGTCTCAAATTGTCCTTCCTCGTTCATTATCCCCCGCGTATCGTTCACAATTCACCCCCTCAAATACATTTCTCCCAGTTGTTTTTCAGTCGCATAATATGCACTAAATCCAAAGTGCATATTACTTCTCGAAACCACTTCTGCTAGTGTTTATTTTTGTTTAAAATTTCGTTCGAATTCAGATCCATCCCAAATGTGTTGTTAAATGTAGTTGTGATTGTTGTATACTGATCACGTGTAGGCTATCTGATGATCGAAGCGTAATGATACATCTTTTGAGGTTAAAATCAATGAATAATACTGAACTTTATTTATTTTATACAAATGTATTGTTTGCCATAAAATGCGTTATCACAGAATGAACGGTTTCGTTCACGTCTGCGAATTGTTGTACTTTTGTCAACTTTTCATCGTAACCTGCCAAAATGTTTAACATTGCTTTTTGAACAACTTTTTCGGATAAGTCCGTCTCGAAATGTTCTACTTGATCAGCAGTGCGTGCGGAGAGCACCGAGGGTAACTTCACAGGTTGTCTAATCTGTCTGTCCATCTGTCAACAAGTGCATTTGAGCGTTATTTGCGAGTGAATCAATTTACGAAATGAATTCGACAAGTAAATTTTAATTTTGTCCACAAAATCTGGTGATTATTATACATGATCAAGTTAGATCTTAAAATTTGAAATGGGATCTCGCAAGGAATTGTAATCGTTCTGCGGGCTCTATAGCCCATCTTTGTGCCTCTGAAGTGAAGTATTAATGAACAGTGGAATATATTTCCCATCCGAATAAGTGTGTATCTCGTTAGTAGTATTGTTAATATTTTCTGTTATTATTTTTATTTCTGTTATATTTGTCCATCTCATTTTTCGATTGTTTGTTTCATATTATATCAGTTCATCGTTGATTCATTCGTTCATTACAACAAACAGAAAACACAGACATTGAATTAATTATTTTATAAAAAATGAGTGTATTTTTATAAATTTTGCGATAGTTCGTTTATTTTCTTATTTTTGTTTTTTACTTATATTCATTATTATTACTGTTATTATTATTATTAATAGTATTAT